GTGCTTCTAGTTGTCTCTACGTATAAATTTCTAGAAGTAACTAGATAGACATCTCTACAAATTGTTCATTTGTACAAAGTTGCCGGCCTCTACAAATCATCCTGGTGGTAGTAGGACGGTCCATTCATGTCGCGCCTACCAAAGCCACGGCCTAAACGCGGTCTGAATTGCCCAATCACTAGGCGTGCGTGCACCGCTAACCGAAGCGGCGCACACGACGACCCTGGGGCCGAAACTGAGGAAGAAGGGGGGGGGGGGCAGCGGTTAGGGTTTCAGTTTTTGCGACCATCCATGGCCAACGGGCTTAGAAGGAGGGGCCCGGGGGCGACCGGCGGTGGTGTCGGGTTGAGGGGCAGTGAACGAGGCGGCGGCGGCACCGCCGAGTGGGCGGAGGGAGATAACTGGATAGACAATGCAAATGGTGGGGGCGAGGAGTTGCCGGTGAACTCCTAGCTTGGGATTAGGGAAGGGCGGGTTTGTCCAGCGGGGGTGTAGGTGGGCAGTGAAGGTGTGCGGTGAGGTCGCCAGGGGTCTGGGCGGCGGTTGAGGCAGCGGGCGGGAGGAGGAAGATGGTACAGAAGGAGAGAGAGAGGAGGATGAGGAAGAAGACGCATGCGCCGCTATCCCTAGTTCCCTACTAATGCGCGACAAGGATGAGGGTCGGGCCGGATTGGCATTAGGCCAGGCCGGCGCCGACAGCCGACCCAACAGCAGTGGGTCGATCTCCAGTCCCGGGAACGAGATCGTCTAACTTCACCTCGAATGACTGCGCTGTGCAGTCACGACATCGTAGACGTCGGCTCACGATCGGACGATGGATACGCTAAAGTGTAATGGGCTGCCCAAATGGCAAGGCCCATCTAGCCCAGAAAGGTAATCGCAGTCGTTGTCTTCCGTAGTTTCACTCGAAGGCGTCGTCGACTGCTGCGCCGTCGGAGTCAGGTCGTCCCGTCGCGGTCCTCGCCGAGAGCTGCGCCGCGCCGTCAGCGTCCGGCTGTGCCGCGCCGTCCTCGCCAAGAGCTGTGCCACGCTGCCCTCGCAGACCGCCGCTCGGTTGCCGTCCTTGACGAGCAGCCATCCTCGCCGAGCGTGTCGCCGTCGCTGTTGCCGTCACCGGCCTGCGAAATTTCCATGTCGCCCACCTTCTGCACGTCTTCCGCCTCTGCAGAGCTCCGGACATGGCTGCTGTTCCACGGCCTTTTTTCCCCTTTCTAATTTCTATTGCTAGCTTGCCTGTAAATTGACATTTGTGCAAGAGCTAGTACTGTGTAACTTGTGATTGTATCGAAGGCAACAAATCATGCAAATTGTATAGCTTTCCATTGTGTTGCAAATTGTCCTGGAATTGTAATGCTGATTGTTGCAAGTTTGATGAACAAAAGGCTCTGCTTTTCACAGATGCAATTCCCTGAATGTAGGTTCAGAGATGCACTTGACGCTCTGTTGTTCAGAGATGCAGTTCCCTGAACTTACACTTCAATGACAAATATTTCATGAGGCTATTCTTCAAAAGCTACTCTCCTAAACAATCTATGTTTCAGGAAGCAACAGATTTAAAAAAATATATTCAGATTGCAGCAAATGTCCATGCTACTAGAAATCAGCAATAACATCATCTGTGGATTGTCCCTGCAAAATAAAAGGTTGAGAACATTTGAGAGAATGTATTGACGGCCATGTATGTTTTAGTAGAATGGTGTAATAGTTTGAAATATTACCGTCAGTATCTGAGAGAATGTATTGATAGCCATGTACTGTTCAGACATTTCTTCCATGGGCAAAGAAATACTTGGAGAAATATTTTGCACAGCTACAGTTTCTTGTACTGCTCCTTCTTTTTCTTTTTTCTTACCTCCCTTCTTTACAGTTTGTTGTTCCTTTGAACCATTTTCCTTTTTCTTACCTCCCTTCTTTGCCGTTTCTTGTTCCTTCAAGTAAAAAAAAAACAAAACTGAATATATTTTCTTATTGAACATGCTGAAAGAGAATCAAATGTATTTTGTGTTATCACTTACCTTTGAACCATTTTCCTTTTCCTTACCTCCCTTCTTTGCAAATTTACGTCTTTTGTCAAGCCAATTTCTTTGGCGCCTTGAGGTTTTAGTTTCAATGTCCTTTTTCTTTAGGCTTGCTGTGCTCAGCAAATTAATTGGGGGCGAATCATTTGTAGGAACATTGATAGGCTCCATTGCACTAGGAAAACCTGTGATTTCTTCTTCGACTTGCTTGCTAACCATGTCAAGTGCATTGTTTACTAATAAGACGCACCGTGGATGACTTGCAGCTCGGTGTACCAAATTAAGAAATTTGCGAGTCATATCTTTGTAGCAAAGCATAGTATCTAATTTTGGATCCTCTACTATGTTTCGGCCTTGGTTGTCCTGTACTATCCCACTACGTGCTTCACGAGTCCATCGCTTCAATATATATTGTTCTGGGATTGACTTGATATTCATCAAATCAAGAACTTTCAGAGCATGGGCACACAATATTCCGATTCTATTGAACTGCCCACAGCTGCATGTGCTTGTTTGGTCTGTAGGGTTACCAGTAACTTTGTATTCCTTCTCAAGGGTAGGATTTTCATCAAGACTCCCAATTGCTACAAGATATTCATTTTTGTCTTCCAATGGGGTGGTGTATGCTGCCATGGACCTCTCATATTCACATTGGAAAGCTTCAAATATAATTGGTGTGTACAGCTTGCTAGCTTGTATTAACATATGTGTCCTCATTTTGAGTCTTGGTAATTTTTTCCTTGATTCAAATTCAGCTTGCAATTCATTATTTCTTTTATATTCCACAACCCTTTCAAAATGCTTAAGGAATCGAATGATATCAAAATCTGATTTGAAATGCCGCTTCAAGTCGCTGTTTAGGCTCTCACTCAATTGTGTACTCCTCATCCCTAATGTGTACACATTTGTCATATAACATTCAGCCCACTTTTCTTTTACCTTGTAGATACTATCCAACCAAGTTTGCTTGCTGGCCTTTGTCCTCATGATGTTAAATGCTTCTTGAAATGTTGCTTCATCTTCATACTCATACATACATGCACTAAAATCATGAGGATACTTGGTTCTTCCTTGCTATCTTCGGCCTTTCTTTTTGGAGGAGTACATGATTCTTCATCATCCTTCAGCTAGATTCTTGACAACATTTTGCATAATATGAAAAGTGCACAGACCATGCCAAGCTTCTAAAAGACCTCCTTGACAGACCCTTTCCCATTGTTTGCATCTTGATCAGTATAGATTGTTTTAGGCTGCTTACTATTATGTGCTTTTAGGAAGGTCTCAAATAGCCATCTAAAGGATTCAAATGTCTCATCATACATGAGAGCAGCACCAAAAACTACAGTTTCTCTAAAATGATTGAACCCAACAAATACTCCAAAAGGCCTACTCTCTTTGTTTGTTCCAAAAGTAGTATCAAAACTGACAACGTCCCCAAAATGTGCATAGTCAGTGAGCATTTTAGCATCAACCCAAAATATGTTCGCTATCTGTTCTTCCCGGTCCATTTGCAATGCATACTGAAATGATGGATTCTCAGCAATTTTTTCTCGAAAATACATGAGCATGCTTCCACCTTCGTCCATACGCCATCTCACGTTGGCGCTTGGCCCTTAAATAATTCTTGTGGTCTCAAGAGTGGCGAGATTAATCTGAACCACCAACTTGGATGGATGCCAACTCATGTGCAGCTTTTTGGCCCAATTCCTGCATCATCAGCTGTCTCAATTTCAAAACCTTGTATCTCTGAAATTTTCCTCTGAGACACCAACAAATGTGAGGTTTCCGGCAACTGGAGGGTGTGATTGTGTTCTAAAATCACCTCACTGACTTTATAATTTCCCTTCTCCCGATCTAGTACAAGACCCATACGAACTTGGCAATCAGTTCGTGTTTCAGCTCTCGGACACTTTATTAAATGATCCCTTTTATCATTCAATCTGTGACCTTCATTGGCACAAACAAATCTGCATGACGTAATTGTTCCATCTGATTTTCTTTTGTTTGAGTATCTTTTTCTAACCTCAAATCCTTTTTGACCACCATAGCTAACCCAAAACATCCAAGCCTCATCTGTATTGCTGAATTCCATGCCAACTTGAGGTAAGAAAAGAGAAAAAAACCCATCCCTACAGCAAATGAAATATTTTATTTGGTAATGGTATACTAAGCAACTAAAATATATATCTGACCGCATTTGGGAGAAAGAAACAAGTATTGATTACACACCTCTTTTCTTCCATCTCGTATACCCTGATTCTATTCTCTGATGTACGGAAGATGATGTTTCTTTAATCGAGTCTAACGTGAGCTGATGGAGTACGGGAAGGCAAATAAATTACAAAGGATGCAAACGCACGTGAAGAGACAGAACACAGAAATCTATACAGGTAAAGAGATAGAATGCAGACCTGCAAACATGTTGTTGGCGACCGAAACAAGCACCATCCGATGGCCACCGAAGCCTCACCGCCGCCGCCGATGGCTCACCGCCACCGTCACCGCCACGCAACCGCGGGAAAAGGAGAATGCGCTCGCGCCAAAAAGAAAAATATCGCGGCAAAGAGGAGCAGCAGACTCGGTTTTGGGCAACCACGGGATAGCGGGCGACTTGATTTTGGGCCAAGGCCCAGGTAGCAGACGAGTAAAACAGATGGATATACGGCCAACGGGCACAGGCGTCCGATCGTGAGCCGACGTCTACGATGTCATGACTGCACAGCGCAGTCATTCGAGGTAAAGTTAGACGATCTCGTTCCCAGTCCCGTGCCATCCCATATATGATCTACTACTTTCATAAGCAGTTTTTGTGTATATAAAAAGTATACAAACCCATCTCCCAATCCCTCCCCTCGAGTCCCCCAACCTACTCTTTGATTCTTTTGAGTTCCAAAGCAATCTCATCACAAAAGAAAAAGGATAAAAACCCTAGAGCTAGAGGCTACGCGCCTGGAGCCCTGTCCGCTGCGCCGACCAGGGACGATGGCTGGCATCCAGCCGGAGCAGGAGAGCCACGTCCTGCCGTCGGGACCACCCCACCCCGTGGCCTCCAACTCGGAGCCAAACCCGCCATCGACGCCCCTCTCAACAATCCCAGCTCTGACACGGGACAAAACCCCAGCCACCAGCTGCAATCTGCTCTCCTGGTTTCGCCACCCGCTGGCCACGTTCACGGCTTCCCTCAAGCGCCGCCGCTGCGCGTCCTTCGGCGACAACCCCAAGGCCGGGAGGAAGAAGAAAGCGCAAATCCTGGGCGACGCGTGCACGGATGACGAGGCGTCGGAGGCCAAAGCCCTGCAGGAGAAGAAGAAGGCGCCCGGTAGCAGCACTAGCGATCCCGAGCTCCTCGCCGACTCAGTCCCCAAGGCCATCGGTGCCACTACCGCAGCGCACATCGTGGATTGCCTCAACGACGATGACGTCTACGTGAAAAAGGTCGCCACCCTACACCCTTCCCTTCCCATGTACGTCTTTGTGAAGGTCCGTGAAGGAGACATCCCTTCTTTTAGATTGTTCCATTCGTAATGATGCTATGTGTACATGAATAGCATTATATATATCCTATGCATACTTTTAAGGAAGCTCTTTGTCCATCATACAAGCTTAACTGCTTAAGTACAATTTGCATATATACGGTAGATTGCTAGTTTGCAAATCTATAAAGAGGCATAAACAAAACAACTGTTTTGTTCCTCTCCAATCTGATTTGGACCCAGACGGCCGCCAACAATAATCTAGAGTTCTGGCCTCACCATCGCCGCTTGCCCCGAATTTTTCTGTGCCCCCTCGCCCCAGTTTAGTTTGTTATATGTTGTTAGGGCGTCCACAAGGGGCTAGCTACGTCGCTAGCTGGGCTCATTTTTTAGCTGATCTGGATGTGAGAGAGTAGAGAAAAATGCAACTAGCGATGAGTGAAGCAGTAGTGGATTTTGATTCTTGTATGTGGATTTTGATTCTTTCACCTCCACCGAATGCTTCCTTTATTTGTTGTTTCGTTGCCACATCAGCTAGCTAAATCTCCAGCACTGTTGAGGCCGCCCTTATTAATTAGTGCCTCTCGTTTAACATGCATATGTTAATTCCTGCTCACATCCATTGTGTTCTCAAAGACTGTATGAAGTTATCTGTGTGCTGCCTGTTTAGCTCTGCTAAGACAGAGAGACATAAGTGCTTTGCTAATTGCTTGCGCGCTGAGCTAAAATGCTCAAAATGACGGAACATACATTGGACATGTGAAAATGCTCTAGGAGGACATGGCCATAGAAGGCAAGGAGGAGAAAGCGAAGGCGAAGGAGCAGCAGGGGTCTCCCGAGAATGTGGTGGAAAAGAAATGGGTTGGGGAGCCCATCGACATCACCGGGGCCAACAACCACAAAGGTAACACATTTCTCTTGGAAGTTACGGAGTAATTCTTATTCTTCCATGAACCATGAATGATCATACTGAAGAGTCGAGTCGAGTTGATGTTTTTTTCTGTTGACGAAAATCTTCTTTGTTGAATTGTTGGTGTCCTTTGTTTCAATCAGTCGCTATTACGTCACCTAATAAGCTGCCAGAATCTGCACCGATCACGAATGAGGAAGCAGCTGCTGCACACCTAGGTTACTCATCCACTTCATCATCCGTGGTTTGTACTTTGTAAGCTGTCAAATAATAGGGCTGACTTGGTTCTCCATTGCATAGTGGCGACAGCAGGCGGGTTGGGACTACGCTGTTGGGAAATGAATCAACAACTCGCTGCTGGGATACAAGATGCGACTGAAAATGCTGAAGAAGCAGCAGCTCCTGCAACAGAAGACACTGCTGGTATATATATGTTGCTTCAAGTCATCATATTTATAATGCACAATATCTTCTTTCTTAATGAAATTCATCTCCAATCATATGCGTTGATGTCCTTTGTTTCTGTTTTCAGTTACAGCGGTTTCTGGGATACGGGAAATTAAATGAACAATTAATAACCATTCAACAATAATTTGCACGTTCGCAGCGGTGCAAGGCTCAGCCAGGCTTGAAGATCTATCTTAAAATTAGATGCAGGTTTAATAGTTGGTTTGGACATTTAGTGAGTTATTAGTAGTTGGGTTGTTAGGAGTTAGTTTTTATACCAGGATTATATTTGTTAGGTTGTTAGGATCTTTGGGAGATCATCCGTGCAAATAAACAGATGCACGGTGTATATAAATAAAAGAGTGGATATGGATTGTCACGGATAGTTCAATTTTTTTTAGTTGCACTTACTAGGTTTGAATCTCTTTGGAGTTCTTTTATGTTACTAGATATATGTCCCTACATTGCACTGGAGCCATGAATTTTTGCCCACGCCTATGCATTTGGCTTGTGGCATATATGAACACATTAAGAAATTTATAAATCTAATCACATAGAAAATCTAAAGCTTGTTGCATGATCTTTAGCACCTATATCGTGTAAATCTACTTTATAGAAACCTTACAAAATTGGTTTCACCTTTTTAACTACTATGATTCATGATCTTTATCACTTGTACCATGTAGATCTAGTTTATAGAAACCTAACAAAATTGGTTTTACTTTTTTAATTATTAATTGTGTGATTTATCATTATGCATTTTACAAGTTTAAGCTGAATTGGTAATTTTAGAAAATAATAAAAAGCTGATAAATGATTTTGCATTGAAAACTCTAAACTATTTCCAAATCTATTTAGGTCTTCTCTATTTTTTTCTCTTTATTAGTTATTTATCAATTTGAACCATATTCTCTTTCTATTTATTCCTCACATCCTTCTCATCCTTTTCCGCTTAGAGTGCCTATTCCCGAGCGTCTGTTCTAATTTTTTTCTTTTTCCAATTTGATTTTTCCGTTCGGACGTGCCTTAGGAAGGAGCGAGGGGCGAGCGGGGTGGGACGTAGATGACAATGCTTCCTATTTTCTTAGGTGTGGAGATAATATAAATTGGATTGGATTCGTCATGATAATTTGGATTTTGGATATTATTACTAGACCTCACAACCTCAGTATAGTAATCCAACAAGTAAGAGGTTCTTGTCTAATTTGTTTGAGTAGTTCTGCATGTTGTAAAACATACGGTCTCTAGGTCTCTAGATCTAAAAAGGAAAGGAGGAAAAATCTTAATCATAGTCGGTTCTCTATGTAGGTTCTTGTCAAACTCTTAGACCTATATATGTGGGGGTCTACGTTGTAATCATCAATATTCAATGAATAAAGAAATAGTTCTCCTATGTTGTATCTTTATATTCTTCTAGCGGTATATTTCACAACATGACAAGCTCTACATACACCACCGTTGGAGCCGCCACCGATCTCAACATTGACACTCATACCAATACCAATGTCTGCCGACAACTACTTTTAAGACATCCACGTCCCGACATTGTCAATGGGATAGATCTGGCACCTCTACTGCTTTTTTAGAAAATGGAATAAACATCCGGCTTCATCCTTGCTGATAAGTGAGGATTAGACCGCGTTATTAAAAAGAAGTTCTCACACTCACATTTTAAGTAGACTCACAACAAAGATAGAAAATCAGTTTGCAATCCTAGACATAATGGGCCATCCATAAGAGAGAGAAAAAAGCCAAAGCCAATGTTTCCAAGGTCTGACAAGCCTTGTAGATGCATTTTTTCTTTTCTTCACTTCGCTTCAACTGACCCCAGAACCAATGTGTTTCCCCGAATAAGACATGCAAAAATATTTTAGGATTGTACTTGTCAAAAACACTATTATTTCTAGTGAGCCTAAGGACCAACAGAAGGCAGTCGTCACTGCTAGTAATAACAAGCTTGAAGCTTTTCCACACTGCTTATACCAATTCCCAAAAAGGTTATAGTACACGGTGGGGTAATACCAAACACATATACAACGCTAGATAAAGAAATGTAGCATATTTATACTAAAATACAGATGTTGAATAGTCTCAAAATTACTTTAGAAGCACCTCTTACCCTATATGGTATGCGTCTGCCGATACTTACCTTACGCGGCAAGTGAAGTAGATCAATTAAGCATCCAACAAGACAAAGGTACAAAATTGCATCTTGTAGATCACTTGTGCCCCAACCATCAAGCTGGGATATTGTTTATTTCCTCTGCACATATTTAATTGTCGTTTTGGTTTCCCAAAAATTCAAACATACTCAACTCTGGCCAAGTATATACAAAAAAAGTACTAATATTTATAAAACATAATTAGTGTCATTAGATAGATCATTGAATCTATTTTTATAAAAAAAATTATTTGGAGTTATAAATGTTGCTAATATTTATTACATACCCAGTCTCCTACAACTAAAAAGAAAAAAGTGTGCATATTTTTTGGTGCGACATTTGTTTTGATTCGTCCGTCTACCCACGCCTGCGATCCCACGACATCTTAATTACTGATTGATCGTGTCATTCTCCTTGATTGAATATTGTCTGTCATGTGATAGAGGAATCACAGCAAAATAGTAAGTAGAAAATTATTGTGCTATCCATATACACATTGCATGTTTGTATGCACCAGCATACATGTCAATGAGTAAAAGGAAAGAGAATTGGCAACGAGTAAAAGGAAAGAGAATTAACATAGAAGGAAAGAGAATTAAGACAAAAGGAACATCTTTGCATTTCTGAAAACCTTATCAAATCTGCCTACATTTAATTACTTCCCCTCTTTGCATTTGCAAAAGAGACAGTTTTTTCCTCCTTTTATTTGGTTTCACGCTCACGTGTTCCATCGCCCTCACTTGCTATTTCTTGCGTGAACCATAGTTGATGTCATCTGTCTTCCATGGCTCAGCCTCCCAATCCCAAGAGAAGGTCCCTACCTCTCCCTGACTGGAGATCTGGCCTGCCAAAGGATCTCCTCGAGTCCATCGGGCAGCGTCTCGCGTCAGGCCATGACGCGATGTCCTTTCGATCCGCTTGCTCCCCATGGCGCGCCGCCGTCCCGTTCGCGACCTTCGGGCCGCTCCTGCTGTTCCTGTTCGACCCCGACTCGGACCGCGTCGGCTTCTATTGTGTCTCGGAGAAGGTCTTGTCCAAGACGCTGCCCGACGTGCGCGGTAAGGTGGCGTGCGGCTCCTCGTGTGGGTGGCTGATGCTCATGGACGAGGCGGCGTCTGTGACGCTGCTGAATCCATTCGTCGGTGCCCGTGCCCCCCGCGTTGAGCTCCCGCCAGCAGGCAAACACGTCGCGGCGGCGTCCTCATTGGAACGCGTGTCTAGGGTCCACGGCTAGTGGGTCCTCCATCCCACCAATGGCTACGGGGACGCAGATGCCGTAGGCAGAGCCATCAAGCTAGAAGACATGAGGGGCGTGTTCTTCCGTGAGACCGTGCTCTCGGCGCCGCCTGACGCCGCCGGCCACGAGTCCGTGGCCATGGCCATGCTTGGGTGCTCCACGGAGGTCGCGTTCTGCCGGGTTGGAGTCGACAGCGCATGGACGCTGCTCAACACCAAACTGGAGTTCTCCGTGGGGTCCATCGTCCACTGCCAAGATAAGTTCTTGGCGATTGACTGCACTAGAGAAATCTCCGTCTGCAGTAGCAACGTCGCCGGCGCTACTCCAACCGCGACGCTGCTGCCATCGTTGTCGCCACCCGCGGGGCTCTGCCACCATAGCTACCTGGAATCAAACGGTGAGCTGCACATTGTGGGTGCCATGGTGAGCACGTTCCACGAGACACAAAGCTTCACCTACAGCAGCGCGATCTACAAGTGCAACCTCCACGACCGTACGCCGGAGTGGTCCAGGGTGAGGGACATTGGTGATCAGACACTGTTCGTGTCTAAACATTTCAATGAAAGCTTCAGTGGAACAAGTGTATCCAAGTACAAGGAGAACAAAATCTATATGTCTGAGCCATTGTATGGGGATCCATACGACTTGGTCCATCGACTGGAGATCGTTGATATTGCTACCGACGCATCCGAAGTGAAACCCGTCCGGGAAAAGATGCAGGGTTCCGAGGCTCTAGGTTGGATTCGACCCAATCTCTGGAAGCTCTAGAGTTTGTGAGCCTGCGACGCCGCGCACTCCGTGACTGTGTTAAATTCATAAACTTTGCTTTTTGGATTAAATGTCACTTTAACGTTGGTATTTAATTTAACAGTATTGTTATTTTATCGTGCGATCCGTGTGTTTTTAGTATAAATTGTTAGTTATCCCATAGCAACGCACAGGCACGCTACCTAGTTAGATCTAAAAAATTGACCAGACCATGCTTCACATAGAGACGGTTAAATAGGAACAGAGAGATGTCATAATACTATATACATAGTACATACAAGTTTATACATCTAATACGTACATATAAATGAACAATATAGCATCTACAACTGCATCTAGGATTCATTAAAAAAGGGCATGGCAGCATCCGCACTGTTGATCTGCATGCCAGCATATCTCACACTGTACCGCACAAGTCCGCAGGACGAGCGCCGCCTGGACCCTGCAATAGCGAAGTTATGACATACGTACAAGTCATCATCGGTTCACTACACATGTGAGATCTATTGATAGCTACAGAGGTAAATAGCCTAATTAAAAAATAGTTGTAAAGCACAACACTAACAAACTAGTTAGAAACTTAAGAGGTCTTAATAAGCAATACAACAAGCCATGTCTAACAAGCCTAGAGAACAACTCCTACACAATTCTAGTATCAAAGATCACAACTAAGCAAGGCAACTGGAAAAGATAAACTAACTAGGCAAGCACTAGGATGACAAAACTAATATCTCTACGCTATGAATTAAATAGCACAAAATAAAGTATAAGTGTGGGGAGCGCAAACCACATAAGATATATCCTCGTGGTTGGGTGACATGCCGATCACCTATGTTCATGTTGAGGTGAGTCCAAGGACCACCTCTCCTCTACAAGACCAACAACCCCTCAAGGTTGGCTCTAACGTGAGAGATTGTGTATGAATCGGCTCCATCACAAGGTACTCCAACAAG